ATTTTATAAATTACCTTTAATTTATTTTTTTCAATAATATTTTGTAAATTCTAATTATAACACCTAACTTATCATTTCATGTCCGTAAATCCTTAGATGTAATTATACAAAATTATTAATGTCTCATGAAATCTAATTACAACACATACGTTTATTATTTTATGCTCGATAATTTTTAGACATAAATACAGTAAAATATCTCGTTATTTATTACCACAAAAGAAATGTTATATGCTCGATAATTTTTAGACATAAATACAGTAAAATATCTCGTTATTTATTACCACAAAAGAAATGTTATCTAATACCATGTATCAGCATTCCATTACAGTAAAATATCTCGTTATTTATTACCACAAAAGAAATGTTATCTAATACCATGTATCAGCATTCCATGCCAAAAATGCATATTGACAACATTAATGATATTAATCACGATAATATATCTAACTAAGATAATTAACAATAATAATTATAAAAGAGATACTTATTAAGCGGCGAGATCTTGCCTCGGTGTATTCGTCGAACGAATTGACGTCAACGACGGGGAGATGACTGTCGAGGGACTACAACGACGGGGTAGGAGGACAGCAATGACGAGGTGGCTGCCGTCGAACGTCTAGAAAAGAAGAGAGGAGGCGTTGATCGGTGAGACGGAGGTGGTTGGCTTGGGCTGTTCGGATTTAGAGGATTTGAGGGGTGGAGGTAGTCGGCAAGGAGGTGTTGGAGGTGGCTGGGTGGCTGTATGGTGGCCTGACGAAGGAGGAGAGAATGGAGGAGGTGATGTCAAGTTGAGGGGAGGAGTCCTCGGAGTTGAGGGAGCGGCGAATTAAGTAGTGGCTGGGCAAGCGGCGAAGTGGTGATGCAGCAACGGATGTCGTGGCTGGTCATGACAGGCAGTTGGGCTGAGATGAAGCAGGCCGGCCGGACGACTGGCTCAGGGCGTGCGAAGGCCTGAGACGCGTGAACGGGCTGTGTGGCCTTAGGATTGAAGAGAGAGAGGAACTAGAGGCTTGAAGGTGGTTGGGGCACTGGGTGGTAACGCGGATCGTCAGTGAGGGGTGGTGGTGGCCGGAGGGAGTAGCGGGCAGCGCGCGGTGCTGAAGGCGGCAAAATCTTCGGCCCCGAGGCATCAGAGCGAACGGTGTCGGGGCTCTGGTGGAAGGTGGCTGAGAGGGAGAGAGGAGGTTGATGGTGATTGGCGTCGAACTACGGGGAGTGAGCGGTGGATGACAGGAGGTACGATGAGACAGACTGAGGGCGCGCTTATTTGGGCGCTCAAAGTGTGGCTTCAATTTTCGGGAGTTGTGGGGAGGAGAGAGAGAGAGAGAAGCGGCTGTGTGATTTTCTTGGGGGAGTGAGCAGGGGATAAGAGGAGAGGGGAACTGTGAGAACGTGATAGGGGTAGTTGGGAGAACGTGAGTTTGTGTGAGGGAGAGAAACTGAGTTGAGGGGGACACGCGGGTTTCTTGAGAGTGAGGGCATGGGTTGTGGGGGAAAACGTGAGTATTCTTTTGGGGGAAGTGTGGAGAGAGAGTAAATATAATATTTAATTATTATTTATCATTATCTAAACAATGAATAACAAAAATAATTAAAATATTACAAAAATCAATTAAAATAATTTAATTTATAATTAGCCAAATAAATATAAAACCTGATTTTTAAATCTTTAAACATTCTAGAAAATCGGTTAAAATCTAAATATTATCTTTAATAATAAAATTTAATATTTATGTACAGGGAAAATTATTTAAATCAGTATAGAAAATTTGTGACCATTACACCAAGAGCCTAGAACTAAGATGAATTAGAGATAGAACTAGCTAGAACTAATATGGGGTGGGTTAGAACTAACACGAGTTCTCAAGTTAGTTCTAGATAGTTCATACGGTATCTCCCTTTCTCTTCTCTCAGAGGTTGAGATGATGAAAGAACGATTTGCAATATTCGAAGTGATATAACGAGAGGTAGAAAATGAGCCTAAGTAAAAGGAATATACCGTGTGATAGACAATATAAAGGGCTACACATCGGCGAAGACGGTGGTAAAAACAGAGACCGGAGGTGGCCGGAAAACGCGCGCGATGTCGGCACGGCGCTGCTGTTTTCTGCTCGTTGCTACCGCCGAGCGATGTTTCGGACGTTACCGAGAGAGATAGAGAATGAGTTAGAGTGTGATACAAATTGGAGGTGATAGGCAACATGTAGGGCTACTCACCAAAGAAGAAATCGGCAGAAATAGAAATTGGAGGTGATCGAAAAGTGCGTACGAAGTCGGCACAAAACTGTAGTTTTTTGCAGTGCAATTTCTCGCAGTTCGGGTTTGTTCTTTGCTGTTCGGAGCTTTTCGCCACTATCTGGGCTTGCCGGAGGTGGGAGGAGGTTGTTGGGGTCGTCGGGATATCTCTGTGGGCTCCGCCGAAGGTGGGAGGAGCTTTTCTCTATTCCCAAGAGCCTAGAACTAAGATGAATTAGAGTTAGAATTAGTTAGAACTAACACGGGGCAGGCTAGAACTAACATGAGACATGTTAGAACTAACATGAGGCAGATTAAAACTAACTTGAGAGCCCAAGAGATTAGAACTAAGATGAATTAGAGCTAGAACTAGCTAGAACTAACATGAGGCGGACTAGAACTAACATGTGGCGTGTTAAAACTAACATGGGGCAAGTTAGAACTAACTTGAGAGCCAAAGAGCCTAGAATTAAGATGAATTAGAGCTAGAACTAGCTAGAACTAATATAAGGCGGGCTAGAACTAACATGGGGCGTGTTAAAACTAACATGGGGTAAGTTAGAACTAACTTGAAAGCCCAAGAGCCTAGAACTAAGATGAATTAGAGCTAGAACTAGCTATAACTAACATAGGGCGGACTAGAACTAACATAAGACGAGTTAGAACTAACATGAGGTAAGTTCGAACTAACTTGAGAGCCCAAGAGCCAGAACTAAGATGAATTAGAGCTAGAACTAGCTAGAACTAACATAGGGCGTGCTAGAACTAACATGGGGCGAGTTAGAACTAACTTGAGAGCCAAATAGCCTAGAACTAAGATGAATTAGAGCTAGAACTAGCTAGAACTAACACGGGGTTGGCTAGAACTAACATGTGGCGGGTTAGAACTAACATGTGACACGTTAGAACTAACTTGAGAGCCCAAGAACATAGAACTAAGATGAATTAGAGCTAGAACTAGTTAGAACTAACATGGGGCGAGCTAGAACTAACATGAGACGTGTTAGAACTAATATGGGGCAAGTTAGAACTAAAATGAGAGCCCAAGAGCCTAGAACTATGATGAATTAAAGGTAGAACTAGCTAGAACTAACATGGTGCAGGTTATAACTAACATGTGGCGGATTAAAACTAATATGGGACAAGTTAGAACTAACTTGAGAGCCTAGAACTAAGATGAATTAGAGCTAGAACTAGCTAGAATTAACATGGTGTGGGCTAGAACTAACATGAGACGTGTTAGAACTAACATGGGGTAAGTTAGAACAAACATGAGACAAGTTAGAACTAACTTGAGAGCCCAAGAGCCTAGAACTAAGATGAATTAGAGCTAGAACTAGCTAGAACAAACATGGAGCGGGCTAGAACTAACATGGGACGGGCTAGAACTAACTTGAGAGCCGAAAAGCCTAGAACTAAGATGAATTAGATCTAGAACTAGCTAGAACTAACATGGGGCGGGTTAGAACTAACATGGGGCGAGTTAGAACTAACTTGAGAGCTCAAGAGCCTAGAACTAAGATGAATTAGAGGTAGAACTAGCTAGAACTAACATGGAGCGGGTTAGAACTAACATAAGACGTGTTAGAACTAACATGGAGCAAGTTAGAACTAACTTGAGAGCCCAAGAGCTCAAGAACTAAGATTTTAGATATAAGATCAAGACACAATTATTTTTCCCGATTAGAAAAAAGAAAAGAAATTGAGGGTGTTGTTGGTTCATCAACAGAGGAGAGTCACAAGTAGAAAAATAAAGAAGACATTAAAAGTCTCATTAGAATTGAAGTCAAAACTAGCCATGTCATTCACTTTCTTTTTTGACTTCAAAACCCGCCATTACGTCCACGAGCCTCAACATAAAAATACAATTTTGAATTATGTAAATCACGAGACTTCTGTGAGCCCTTACTTTTTTGACACAAGGCTAAGTCACACATGAGAAACAAATGAACTGAATACTTAATTAAACTCCTTGATTTTCTTCTCATATCCAGCAAACATAACAAGCCCGTTGTGGGATGCACAAAATACTTCATTAGAGGTGACACCGCTCTTTGCTGTAATATAAGCTTTTCATGCAACCTAGAATACACATTCGTTTGCTAGATAAAACTAAAACTAACTGTCACATTTTTCTGAAATTAATGAATGAATGGTAAGTATAAAGAACTTCTTCACTTACTTGAGGACGAGGTGGAGAGCGGCAACAGCTAACTCCGGCATGGTCGAGGACGAGGCGGGGAGCGGCGACAAGCGACGAAGACGAGGTCGGACGGAGGAGAGGAGGCGACGACAAATTCGAGGGCGAGGCGGAGAGCGGCAGCGGCGAACTCCGACGTGGTCGAGGGCGAGGCGGGAAGCGGCGGCGNGGCGAGGCTTAGGGGTCTGGGCGGAGGCCGCGACAGCGACGGCGAGTAGGGCGAGGGCCAGAGAGACGAACTTGAGAAAGCCCTTGGTTTTAGAGAGAGAGAGAGAGAGAGAGAGAGAGAGAGAGAGAGAGAGAGAGATGAGAGAGTTGGGTTTGAGGGATTGAAGAGTGGGGATAAGGTTATTTTGTGGATTTTAGTTTAGCTGACATGTAATAATTACTAAAAAATAACTGCAGCACAAAGTGTCACACTTCAAGGGGTTGAATCACATAGGAAAAACTAGAAGGACTACAACACATGAAGTTTCTGTTTTTGAGGCATGGAAACATTTTCCCCTATTTTTTTTATCAGCCTTTTTTTAATTAATAATTAATAATAAGCCAAGGCATAAAATCGGAAAGAACAAAGACTATCGTAACTCCTTTTCCTCCATCGAGCCTCTTCGCCGTCTTCGGTCCAAAAATCCGCAAAAGAAAAATCTAAAGACCAAAACAGAGGTAAAATCTCTCTGTTCAAAATTCAATCTTGTAAAAGCCCGATCAGATTTCGTCCTTCGCTGAGATTTTAGGGTTTAGGAATTCGATATCTGATCAAGGTTTAGGGTTTTCCATATCGAAGTCCAAAAGCTAAAGAATGAAAAGCGAACAGTTTCTCTGCTTTAAGTTCAATTTTAATTCCTTTCACAGGAAGCAATTATAATTACCTTGCATCTGATCTCACTTGGTCTTTGCTGAGATTTGAGGGTTCAGGATTTTGGTATCTGATTGAGGTTTACGGTTTTGTTTCTTGGTCTAGGGTTTGGAAGTAGAGAAAAGATCGAGCGAAAATGTCTCGAAAAGGATTAATGGAGCAGGATCTAAGTAAGCTGGACGTGAACACGCTGACTCCGTTATCGCCCGAAGTGATTTCTCGTCAAGCTACTATTAATATTGGTAATTTTTTTTGTTTATATTATTGTTTTATATCTTTTATAGTTCTTGGTGGAATATATGGGAAATTATATAAGTTTAAGGGTTATTTGCACTTCAATTACCCAAAGCCTCATCCTAACATCTATTTTGACAGTTTGATGCCCCTAACGCCTCGTTTGGTACGCGGGAATGAGTGGGAATGGAAGACAATTCTAACTCTTTATTCATGCGTACCAAACACGATGTATTTTTAGACGCTAGAATTGTTATTCCCACTTCTTATCAATTCATGTGAGAATAGTTATTCCCAACCATTTGACAAGGAATTGATATTCCCACTTAAGTGAGAATAAAAATAAATAAATAATCTCAAATTATACCCTCCTTAAAAGATACGAATATATATAAATTCTCATTCATATGAAAAATTACTTTTATAGAAATAATATCATTAGCTGCTCGTATAAATATATAAATAGATGTAAAATATTAAAATACTATTCTTTAATTGACTTTGCCCTAGTTCCATCGCGTCAACAGTAGAAAAAAAATCTCATCTTCGCCTCGATGCGACTCGGTTAGGTAACCATTATTTCTTTTTAAAATATGTATGTGTGGCTAATCTTTACCTAATCTTTACAGTAATTTTTTATATTTTGGCAACTCGGTTGCGTAATCTATTAGCAATTAGGTTAGTAAATATTTGATCTTTAGATGTATGATCTGAAGTTCCATTGAAGCATATGTGCCTAATCTTTTCAGTAATTTTTTCAAAGCACTCACAACAAGAAATAATGTGCTTAATTAATGAGATTGGAACTTTATATTTTGATTAGAGATTAACATGTTTTCTATCCCTTCAAACTTTTTAGGTTAACATGTTTTCTACTCCTAATCAATTTGTTTGAAAGTTAAAAGGTGCATTTGAAATTTCATAGAAATTTTATATACAGACTAATAGTTAACATGTTTTTCTAATCCTTCAAAAGTTAGTGTTTTTTCCGATCTCTCTCTACATGCATGCACATGGAAATCAGTCACAAATCATGCATCATGCATATGGAATTCAGTCTATTGTATAATTTTGTGCATAGTGATGCTAGTTGCATTAGCTGCTCGTACACGTAGTAGACATGTAGCATTAAAAGTTAGAAATATGAAAGTATAATTATTTATATTAAAAAATAGTTTCTATGAAAATTATTTTTTAATTAGTATGCCAAAAGTTCAAAATTGTTGCTGAGGTGGTGTACTAAAATATAACTATCATCTGGAAATTTATTTCTATAAGAAAAAATATTATTTCTATAAAACTTATTTTTTCTAAAAAAAATGAATTATTTAGTCATTTTTAAAATATCTTTATGTTTTTAAAATTTTGTGTTTTTATAAGGGCATTATTAGAAAACTAAATATTATTCTCATTTGTGAACAAATGATACCAAACATGGGAATGAGAATAAGATTGTCATTCCCGTTTCATTCTCTAAACGCGCCCAAACATGAGAATGAGAATGCACATTCTATTCCCAAATCTATTCCATTTTATTTCTATCTTCTTTCCGTTCTCACTTGACTCCATTCCTGCGTACCAAATGAGGCGTAAGTGTAGAAAGTTGACTTTTTTTTGTTCAAGAATATTTATAGAGAAAAGTGAATGAAAAAAAAAAATCTTCCCAAATTTCATTGAGTTTGGGGAAAGGGAGGAATAAACCAAGGGCTTTGGGGTATTTAATTGAAAAATTAACGTGAAGATGAAAGCATTGGGCTGTCTAATTGTCAAGAAATGAATGATGTTTATCTGCATATGTTAAGGTAGAGTTGTAGTTGGTTAAGGAATCAAATAAAGAAATCAAATTGTGTTTTAAGCATATGGAATGGGTTTTTTGTAGAATCTTGTTATTCAAAGAAGTATTTGCATTCTTGTTTGTCTCTATACTTCATTCTCATTGTTATGAATTAGTTAGGCATGGAAAAGAAGTCAAACACTGGAGTACTATGATTTGTATGGTAGAGCTTAAAGTAAAAGAACTTATCGAGAATGCTATTTAAGTTGTATACAGAATCATATGATTTAAGTGGCACATAGAAACTTCTATTTAAAAAAATGTCTTATTCATGTGGCGCATTGTGCATGTCTTTTCTTGCGCCCATGTTACTATATCTAAATTTCTGTTGCAAGAATGAGTACCTTATCATCAAAAGTTTTGCATACTGTTACTCTTTTTGGGCTAACCATCATAGCAGAATAGATATTGTAATTCTCGAAGTTTGATTGCTTATATCTATTGACCATTTATTATAGGTACTATTGGCCATGTGGCTCATGGAAAGTCAACTGTGGTGAAGGCAATATCTGGTGTTCAGGTACTATGCTTCTCTTGGTTTTAAATTCATTCTGGATTCTGGAATAACTTCACTGTCCTAGTTATTATATTTTAGTTCAAGAATGCAATTTCATTATGATTTTTGATGTGTTGCTAGTAGGTAGTTCCAAGGAATAATGCAACTCATAGTGTACATCAATTCAATTTGAAAGGCGGGTTGGTCGCTTTGGTTAATAAGACAAAGTAAACAGTTACAAATCCAGAAAATCTATAATGTTATAATATGTATGGATTGTAAACATTATTGACAATATATATTGTTGTTTTTTATATACGTTCTGCAGTCCTGCTCCATTGTTTCATTTGTTATGTTACTAAAAGGATCGTTCATTTTGAATTTTTGCAGTATTATCCATCTTACATGTTTCATATATCGTTTAGAGAAAATATATATTTGCAAATTTGGAAATTGGTTTGCATCCAAATATGCATTTATTTTATGATTAAAATATTTAATATTTAGTTACATATTGTGTAATGAGAACTTATTTTATTTTCTATAGCCAACAAAAGCTTTTTTTTAGTTACACTTATTTATAACACATTAGTTTTGGTTATGACGTCTTTTGGATTTATGTATCTAATGCAGACTGTTCGGTTTAAGAATGAGTTGGAGCGAAATATTACTATCAAACTGGGTTATGCGAATGCAAAGATATATAAATGTGAAGATGATAGATGTCCTCGGCCAATGTGCTACAAGTATGATGCCTCAGAAGAAATGAATCTGGTTTCTGTACATATCTATTTTTGGATGCTGATGGCCTATTCTGATGCATGCAGGGCTTATGGAAGTGGAAAGGAAGATAGTCCTTTATGTGATGTGCCTGGTTTTGAGAATGCAAGAATGAAGCTTTTGAGACATGTTTCATTTGTGGACTGTCCGGTAAGATGACTTTGCTTAAATAATTTTTGCAATACTTTGAGACATCTAGTATGAAATCTTGTTAAGAATATGAACAGAGATCTTATAGTTTTTTATTCATTTTTATTTATATATGCTAAACTAGCACGGTCCTCTATCCATATAGGTATTATTTTCATCCATGTTATCAGATATGTGATTATTATCCAAGTAGATCAACTACTAAGATGTTGGCACTGGGGCAACTATGGTATGCAAAGACTTGTAAAGGATTGACCGAAATGATAACCATCCTGGAGGTCATATAGTCTGCCTGTCCAATTAGGTTGTGATCTTTAGCACACCTCTATGCAAGGAGAGAAATTAGATGAAGAGGAAAGTTAACAAGGCTTGCCATAGTGCATAGTGATCTTTGTTCTCACTTAGTAAACAGAAATGCCACAGAGCCAGATATATACATTCCTGCACATTACTTAATTGCACAAACTGTTAACTTATACATTTTATTTCCCCGGAAGAAATATGGAGTGTTTTCCCTGTCATTTTATATACCTGTTCTTACTGTGCGAGAATTTTGAAGTATTGCTTATTTGCGGGATGAGATAGCCAGGTGAAATCTATCTGACCACTAATCTTCCAGGATATAAATTCTCTTCGTATCTACAGTTTCATAGACCAGATAGTTAACAACAGCTTTTGGGTTTTGCATTATGTTGACAGCTATTATAACTTTCCGTCATTTCTAATGGAGAAAGTATAGGTGACAATAACAGATGGAACTCATATTATTGTGGTATCAATAGGAATTTTGTTTGGTTGGTTAGCTGCCAACGAGCCCCTCATTGGAAATCCCTTGTTTTTGTTTTCTTTGCAAACTCAAGATGTAAACTTTTGTATATATTACAAATTCGAGATTTAACCTAGAAATACTTTTAACTAGACTATAAGATCTAAGCTTGTGATGATATATTGTACAAATTAGGCAGGAAAACTTCTCTTTGCCTTTTATAGCCATCATATTGCAAGGAGGCAAGGGACACTTGTCCCTTGTCACCTCTCATGTTCCACAATGGGGATCAAACTAATCAAGCAAAGAGTTTCCTCACTGGAGCTGCCAATATATGCTTATTTTTTCAGGCAAAGTTACCTGAAACTTCTACACGATAATTGCATTTGCATGTCAAGCACTCTCCAAGTCAATAACCATATAGTTAATAAATCTAAAAACTTTGTTAACCATGCAATTTGTGATTTGGAATTAACAGAAAAGGATGAAGTAAAGGAGGGGAAAAAAGAAAAAGAAAAAAAGCAGAAAACTTCACTGAACCTCCTGATTTGTCAAAATGTTATTCAAAGACCAGAAAGATTCTGGATAAAATCCAAACAGAGAACTTTGAGGGAATTTTTGTGAATTTTGTTCCACCCTAGTTCCCTAGGTAAAATTTTCACTGCAAATATGTGCCAAATAAACCTGGATGATTGCAAGAATGAATTAGAGATTGACCCTTGAACCTTTGCAGAAATTGCAAATAGGCTAAAGTGACTTGAAAGTATTATAAATATGTAAATAAATCCTAGTAAGAGACAGTGTTAAGTTTAACCATTTGCTAGTCCTACCTACCCACTTTGGCCTTATTTGGACCATGACTTGAGATTAATTGGTCTATACATGAGGATGGTTGTTGAGAATTTGTTTCTATTCAATGATATTTTACTTTGCCTCACGATGAATATGATATATTGATACTTTTCATATATCCTTGGACAACCTTGAATTTTGTTTCTATTCAATGATATTTGAAAAGAAAGTAATTTAAATGTCTCAATAATTTTTATGAGTTTGCATGCTTATCAGTGATTTGACATGTGATCATCTTTGAGCCAGAAGGCTTAAGGAACGTTGTTGAGAATGTTTTCTAGTGTCATCACTATTGACATTGGAGTGGTGACAAGTAATATCATTGAGACGTTTGTGCCAAATTTTAGGCTGTTGTTGAGTAATGAGTTAGTGAATATACTGATTTCACACAAAATGACTAAATGCAGGTCAATTGTTTAAGGCTTAATATATTTGACAGCAATTGGCAAGTATAATGGACTAGCTCCCAAAGTACAGAGTTAGCTACATCAGTAACCTTCGGTTGGAGTAAATTCACAATTAAACCCATAGTTACATGGAACGTGGTTTGTTCCTTATCACAAGAAGGGAATGGAGCATGATAGGCCACTTATTTGGTATCAGGGTTGAGGAAGGCTTATATGGTACCCTAGGGAATGTGGTACGCTTTAGGTTCGGTTTTTAAATGTAGGAATTTGAGGTTCTGCAAGAGGCAGATTCAAGAAACATGTTAGTCGATATCAGTATGGTAAAAGAACCTTCATAATCATGGTTCAATAATAAGATGTGCATACTTTTCTCCCTTAGTTTGTCACGCATTTTGTTGTTCATTTTTCTGGGAAATAGTTATTCTTTTTCAAAATTTTAACCGGTTTGAATTTTAAAATGGGTTGCATTCCCCATGATCCAGTTCACTAACGTGCCCGGTTCCGGAACGATTGAACCTGGGTCGTTGTTTGCTATAGCATCTCATGTTCTTAACAACTATGGATAAACTAGTTTAGGTTTCTTCCCACAATAGTTTCACACAAAGGAGCCAACAAAAAAAAAGGAGAAAGGGGAAAAAGAAAAAAAAAGAAAAAAAACATCCTGCCATATCTGTCTGTCATCATTCGTAGCTTCACCAACCTGTTGTCGATTATCTCGAGCTGCATGTGTTCACATGCATGGTTGCCTATAGTGTCATTCAATCAGTTTGGCTTCAAATTTATAATCTGTTAATTTTCAGATTTCCCTGTGTTTGGCAGGTATTATGATCTTTTTTCCCTTAGGTATTTGATTGTTGGAACTTCTAAATAGCATTCTGTAAATGCCATGGAAAGCTAAAATAGCCATTTCACATTTACTGGGAACTAACTAGTCTGATTTCTTTTTGTTCTTTCCAAATGAAACTTCTTGATGGTTCTTAGAATATCAATAACTGACCTTTTATTTCCGCTATCCTACTTTGGCTTTCACTTTTTGGATTAATTAGTTCTGTGGAATTCGCAGTGAGTGGCGTACTCAATACTAATTTAATTTATGTTATGAAAATTTAAGTTATGATAATTTAGTTTAATTTATGATAATTTAGTTTATGATAATATTTAACTTGATGGAGGAGATGGCCCAGAACAGAGCAGAATGGACGAATAGGATAGGATTCATGTAGCCGATCCCAAACATTTGGGGTGAACGTTTTGTTGTTTGTTTGGTTCTGTCGAGTAAGCAACGAATGACGAACTCAATGCTAATCAGCTTGTTGTTGACTCTGTTGCTCTTTACATAGTTTATTGACTATAAGTTTCTTAATATTTACCTGTGTATGGACGGAATAACTCTGGTTGAGTATATGCATGAGTTTTTGTTGGCTGTGCTGAAAAATGTTTATATGCACTAAAAACTAAATATGCTATTGCTGATGCTTTCTGTTCTAGGGTCATGACATTCTCATGGCCACGATGCTTAATGGAGCTGCCATCATGGATGGAGCTTTGCTTCTCATTGCGGGGAATGAAAGCTGCCCGCAGCCTCAAACTTCTGAGCATCTCGCTGCTGTTGAAATCATGCGTCTCGAACACATTATAATTCTACAGAACAAGATTGACCTTATTCAGGAAAGTGTAGCAATTAATCAGCATGAAGCTATTCAGAAGTTCATTCAGGTCAGTTTCATCCAACTATTTAAACTTTACAGAATTTTAATTATTATCCCAACCTGCTTTCATTTGGACGTTTCTTAAATATCAGAAAGTGATGAGTGCAGGGAACAATTGCAGATGGTGCACCTGTAGTGCCGATCTCTGCCCAATTGAAGTACAATATTGATGTTGTTTGTGAGTACATTGTCAACAAAATCCCGATCCCTAGGAGGGACTTCAAATCACCACCAAACATGATTGTGATCCGTTCATTTGATGTAAATAAGCCTGGCTCTGAGGTTGATGAGATAAAAGGTGGTGTTGCTGGTGGAAGTATCCTTAGGGTATGTCAATCTATATGCTTGTGTCTTCATTACATAAAATTTTCATCATTTTGTCATTGTTACATGAATGTTCTGAGAATGTCTGTGAAAAATGCGGTATAAGTGATTACGGCTACATTTCTTTCATATTTTGGTAAATTTCCATACAAATCTTTAACCCGCGTTGTTTAAGGACATAACTCTCCATATCTCTGCATGTAGGGAGTTTTGAAGGTGAACCAGTTTATTGAAGTACGTCCGGGTATTGTTCTTAAAGATGAAAATGGGAACATCAAATGTACACCGATATATTCTAGAATCGTTTCGCTATATGCCGAGCAAAATGAACTCCAGTTTGCAGTGCCTGGGGGACTCATTGGAGTAGGTACAACTATGGATCCAACCTTGACTCGTGCTGATAGGCTTGTGGGTCAAGTACTCGGTGAAGTTGGTTCATTGCCTGATGTTTTTGTTGAGCTTGAGGTTAGCTTTCCAGCCTTTGGTCATCTTTATTCATGTTCCAACAGTTAATTTCCGTTTCGCCCTCTGTTTAAGGGCGTTATTCTTATTCTTGCTTAATGTAATAGGTTAAGGAACTGCAAAAACAAATGAACGACCATTTACTTTTTCTCCTTTTTGTGGGTAAATTTCACAGAAACCCCTTGAAATTAAGGGTATTTTTCACAAGACCTTACAAACTTCATAACTTAGAGAATCCCCAAATATGTCTTAGTAAAATACTGACTTAAGATGTTGACATGCTTTGAACAATTTTACCCATAGAATAATTTTCACAAAACCTCCCTAAACTTTGAGGACTTTGCACAAAACTCTCCGAAACTTTTTGAGGAATTAGCATGAAACCCCCTAAATGGGTTCCAGTAGCAATTCTCGCTGGAATTTCTGCCACTCCTCTGCCACCATCTGTCTCAACTTCTATAAGTTCTCTCCCTCTTCTTACCAAAGCCCTTCAACAGTCCCCAGCTCCTATTAAATTTCCTTCCTCGTTCTCCCTAATAAATGTAGTTTAGACCTTTTACTCTTTACATTAACACCATTTTTGGTAACTCCCACCCAATAGTTCAGGAGGGTTTTGTATAATTTTTTTTTGAGAGAAGGGTTTTGTATAATTTTGAAAGTTCAAAGAGGTTTCTTGCTCATTTATAAAGTTAGGTGTGTTTTGTGCAAAACACTACAGAGTTGAGGGGATTTTGTGAAATGTACCATTTATTCGTCATGTTGCTTCTACTTTAGATCAAATGTTGGCCGCTTCTTTTGAGTTAATATACAATGTTAACAAATTAAAATAATATGAAATACAGAAGCCAGCAAGTCTCAAATCGCCCACATTTTCAGGTTAACTTTTTTCTCCTCCGGAGGCTATTAGGGGTGAGAACCAAAGGCACAGAGAAGCAAGGAAAGGTGTCAAAACTCGCAAAGAACGAGATCCTGATGCTCAACATAGGGTCCATGTCCACAGGAGCTCGAGTGGTCGCTGTGAAGAACGATCTGGCCAAGCTCCAGCTCACTGCACCAGTGTGCACCAACAAAGGAGAAAAGGTTGCCCTAAGCAGGCGAGTTGAGAAGCACTGGAGGCTCATTGGGTGGGGCCAGATTCAGGCGGGGTCCACTCTTGAGGTCCCACCCTGTCCCATTTGATTTTGAACACCAGAGAGAGAGAGAAACAAGAAAGAAATACACGGTTTGAATTTTTGGGAGTTGTTTGTGTGGTTATTATGTGGGAAGGCAGGCAACTGCTAGGAACAATTTATGTGAGATGGAGAAGAAAACATACTAATTATTTTTGTTAGTTTAGTTTAGTTTTGTTCGTTGCTTTAGATTTTATGTCTATTGCAGCTTATTTTCATGGGTTAATTGCACATTGACTCCTCTTGAGTATCACTCGCGTTGGAAATTATTACCCATTGGAAAAATTATTACCGGCGTCGTCTGATTTTGGCAGATGGAGCTGATGATGGAATTTTTTTTAAAAACTCTTTTGCGCTACCTGGGGCAAATATTATATTGGGGTGAAATCTGAGGGTAAAAGAGGCAAGAGGTTCCATCTAGGAGGTACAAAGTTAATAAGTTTCATGAGTGAGATGTCCTTCAATTTTTTGAGTTGATGCAATGCTAGACGTCTCTGTATTATAATTTTGTATTATGTTATGAGTTCGTTTATAAGTTGATAGTTGATTCATGATAGAACTGTAATTTTTCTGTATTTCTACCCTCAGGCTTCTTAGCCAACCAACATAAAGAACTGAAATTCTTTCAACGTTGATTAATGATGCAAACAAAAGGCCATCAGAGACAGAAAAGTCAGATACCTATAAATACGCATTTATTTCTTATTAATTCTATGGTCCCATATCACCGTCACACCTTCTGTTTTCACCACAAATCCAACTAACAAAGCGCACGATTTAATGTCAGCATCCAACCTCACATTGAGGAATGAGGCTGCGTCCCTCCCTTCCACCCGCACAAGTGAAACCTCACGTGCCGCCTCCGCCGCGTGCCTCTCGCCGTCCTCCGTCGGCCCTCTTTCAAGCCCGTAACTCTCGGTCAGTCTGGCCCTCTTTTACCCGGCCACGCCATCCCGTCGCCGTGCGTGTCGTCCAGCCAGGCGACGATGTCGGCGCACACACAGCCCTGTATATTATCGTCCATAGGCTCACTCAGCGCGTGCCACATCCCTGGATACAGCTTCATCTTCTTGTCTGAGCTCCCGGCGTTCTCGTAAAGCGCGCGGCTCACCTCGGGGTCCGTCACCGTGTCCGCCTCTCCGTGCAACACGAAGAATGGCATTTTCACCTGTTGACGTAGTTTCCTAGAGTTACTTAACATTCGTTGTTACTTAGTCCACGATCATTTAAGTACCTGAGCTAGGCTGTCCTCGAGGTTCATGCTCGTCCTAAGCAGTTCTAGCGCGGTCTTGAGCCTCGGCTTGTCTTGATAGATCAACTTGTTGCTCCGAATCTGAACGCCAAAGATTTGCAACGGACGTTCGCGTAAAAAGGAATTTAATTAGAGTTAAGAGAAGTGGGTTACCTAATAACCTAAATTTATTACAAAACGAACCAAATGAAATTTACCTCTTCACGTTTAATTGGGTCTTTGAAGGCTGAATCGATAACATCTTTAGCGGGAACAATCTTCCACTTTGGTATGATCTCTTCCACACGAGTCAGAAGATTGACCACGACCGGGTGCGGCTTCACCTTTTCTGAAATCTAGTTACAAATCATTGCGGGGAAAAAAATAAATAAATAAAATTATATTTATGTTAAATTGAATTATTTTTTGACAAATAGAATAATAGGTTTCAAAGCACAATATTAGAGGATGTTCATGTTAATTAATTATAAATAAATAAATAAATAAAAAAGAGTTACCTTGCACATAGGGGCAACGAGGACTGCGCCATCCCAAAACGCGGGGTCCTTCCTGTGGAGGAGAAGAGAAACTGCACCCCCCATTGATTCTCCATAAAGGAAACGGCTCTTGTCTCTGTACTCTTCAAGTTCTGGTTAATTACCATAGAAATTGAGAAGGACAAATATTCAATTTACCATCGAAAAAAACTTGTAATGAAGAAAAAGTAATTTATTCTATTTGTTGGCTAAATTTCACAGATGGGGGGGTTTTGCGCAAATCGTTAGCCGTTTTTTTTAATGATAAAAGGTTTAAACTATCCTTCTATCAAGCGTATAGGATTTATAAAGTTGAAAAGAGTATGCTCAAACGTAATACAGTTTAGTGGGTTTTGTGAAATCTCTCTTTTATTTTTTTTTTAAATTTATCTTTCCAAGAGAAAAAGAAAAAAAAAACTTTTGCGTACTTTCTCCCACCCCCACCACATACTTTTTGAGAAAGAGTTAAGGGATCCTTTGAAGTTTGAAATAAGAGTGGGCATTTAATGCTTATCAAGAAGTCACATAAGTGGAGTATCAAGTGCATCCGAGTCCATAGCATTAAATGTGCATCTAAACGATGTTAACTGATAAGTTATTAGATTTCGAGTTTCGTGCCTAGATCCAAGGATTAACATTATTTAAGTGCATATTTAACGTTGTACAAAACTAATCCAAATAACTAATTTGCTTCCAATATTATTTTATACTCTGGATCTTTGCAGATAACCAATCATGATCCAAAACCTTAAGCTTTGATTAAACTTCATACTAAAATTGTTAAGGGTCCATTAGATTTCCCAGATGAGTTCTCTGATATGTCTATACATAATTTTTTTTTTGACTGGAAGTCTATACATAAATTTAAAATTTCTTACTGGGTAAATTTAAATAGATACAGGAGGGGGTTTTGTACAAAACTTCCCTGAACTTTCTCAAATGAGAGAAGCTTACCGTGATTTTTTCATAAAAATATAAGAGAGTTTACTTTTACTAAGACGGTTTGTTTGGATCAGGATTCATAGAATTTACAAGTGCAGTTTAGAACTTGTGTCTTCATCTTACTGTTGTTTATGACAAATTTCAATAGCCCACGATGGGTTTGTGTAACTTTGAACGCGCACCATTTTTATCTAATTAGAAAGTTTAGAAAAGATTATAAAAAAAATTTAAAAAAAACTAATAATAAGGAAAAAAAATTAAAAAAAAAAAACGTAAACTGAGATTACCGCATATTGATTTGAAGAAGCGATCACAATCGGAGACAATATTATCGAACTTTTTGATGTAGCACCTGGCGCCCATCGATCTCCCGTGTCCCTCATAATCAATCCCAAACACTCCGTACCCCGCAGCAGCCAACCTACTCCCTACTCCTGCAATTAATCGCAGCCGTCAACTTTCGGATCCAACGGTCAGATTTCGCGTCGTCTCCTACTACTTAAAAATCTCAAGCATTGATGAGAGCATTCATGGCCGTGATGGGAGAGGATTCCACCAACCAACCGAAAACTTGACCGTGATCAATAAATTTTGGGGTCAGGTTAAAACAGGGCTCAGACTCATACGGTGGGCCCGCACTTTAAAAAACATGAATTTTTTTTTTTAATCAGGAGACAAAAATATCATTCATATGTGTGTCATTCCGTCAATATAAAACCATTGTATTGACCACATCATGTGTCTGGCTATCCATTATTACCCATGAGAGGATTTCATGGTCAAGAACAGTCAGAGATTCTAAGGGCTTGTTTGTTTGCCTAAAAAAATTAAAAATCAAAGAAATAGAAAACTATTAAATCAAAGAATTGTTTTGGGAGTGTTTGGTTTGCTAAAAAAAGAAGGAAATCAAAGAAATGAAGATGAGTTGTCACCTTATTATAGGATGATGTGAGCGATTTTTTAAGAAAAATTGTTTTGATGTTGTTTGGTTGGCGAAAAAAATAATGAAATAAATTATAAGAAACCTATTTCTTGTAATAGGTTGTTTTCTTTTGCTTGGTTATTTCTTAAAAATAAGAAAATATATGAGATGAGATGAGATGAGTTGTCATTATATTATTGGATGATGTGACCCACACTTAAGGAAATTATTTTCCTAGCTTTTTGGGAGGAAAACAAAGAAATAAAATGTTAATGGGATGAGATGAGTTGTCACAATCTTATTGGATGATGTGAGTAATTTTTAAATATGAGATGAGATGAGTTGAGTGGTGTTGTGGATGAAAATAATATTTTATTAGATGTGGTGGATGAGTTGTTGGATGAAAATAATATTTTATTAGATGTGATGGATGAGTTGTTGGATAAAAATAATATTTTATTAGATGTTATGGGTGAGTTTTAAGGATGGAAATGTGTGAAATTGTACTTTTTGAGTTTTCTTGGTTTGAATTTCTATTTTTTAGTTTTTTAGGAAATAACCAAACAGCCCCTAAGACTATCCTCTATCCTGTCTATGAATGATTCATAACATCCTCTTTTATATTCAAGCATTCGAACGAGATTCCTGTCTCTTCTAGGGGAAATCATACGGAAGGTGGAGATCATACTACGTGCCTTGCGACTAGTTCTAAGTTAATGCAGTTATTATACGATATCAGTGCAATCAATAGAATGTATCTAAAATATGGTGGAGACCATCGGTACTGAACCAGTATAACTAATAGGATGTAATCATAATATTATGTTAGTATAACTGTCAATATTGCGTTAGGACAATCAAACTGCTGCATTAGTACAATCAGACTACTTCGAAATCTCTATTGGGTACACTTGTCACGATCTCCTCTCCACGTCATTTTCTACAAGGGACCAATTTAGGAAATCTTTTCTGATGGTTATGTATGTGACATCATGCATGCTTGCTTTTTAAGCCGTGAAAAAAAAATATATCACAAAATATAGAAGAAGACAAGGTAAAATCTAAGAAGACGACGGAAATGATATAGGACAATTATTAGTTGATCTGACTCTACCGGTGATTAAAGTGTTGATGTCATTGTTCTAGTAACATTCAATTTTTTTTATTCAAGGGGTAATGGGAGGTGGATTGGTAGGTTCACCCAACAAATTAAAAACAAATAAATGGTTGGTGTTTTAGTTTCACCAACCAATCTTAATTGGGTCAAGCCTTAGATGTAAGAAATTACTTTATATATATATTTTAGTTAGAAAAGTTAGATGTGGTGGAATTGTACTTTTGGAAATATTGATCTTAAATTATAATAACGTTATAACAGTAATATACGTTTTAGAAAGTTTGCATAAAAATGAGTGTGGGGGCACAAAATAAAATATTTCTATAACTTTTACTTTACATTTTCAAATGAGTTGTGGTATTAAAAAAAATTTAGAAAAAAATCGTTAGGGATAAATCGGGTCCAATGAAATCCGACCAAGAGTTGATTGGCCCCTTAACTAGGGTTAAGGGGCTGAGAATCAATTTTAACCCAAATGTTATACTAAGTATTAACTCTTATTCTTATTTTAAACTCATCACTTCTTATCCTATCTAATGTGAGACTACTCACATATTAATAATCTTAACATCTCTCTCTCTCTCTTAATTTGAGTACAGTTCAATCTTCCATCATACTTCAATCTTCCACGAGATTTATTAACATAGTCTAAACTATCAATCATGTGCCTTCGGTATATGACTATGAAACATCTGTAGGATCTTTCACCACTTGTGGCCACCACTTCTCTTGTGAACTAACCAGGCCATATCACTACCCCTATAAATTACAAGTTACTGCTCAATTATCACTTCATATGTAACTAGTAGCTGATATACGAGCTAGCTCTTTAAAAATGGTACATGCGGTAATAAATGACCAACTTAAATGAGGATACAGCCTAGGATCTCTATGCACAAAAAAAAAAGTTTTTTCTATAGAGTGCTCATGGACACTCAAAAAGAGAGGAGAAATATAGAGAAATGAAGTATGCACATAAATTAATGCAAATCATGGGGGCCCATAAGCTATTCATTTATCTCTATCTCTCTCATCTCTTATAGAGTGCCCATGGGCACTCTATAGAAAAACCCAAAAAAAAGGTGCCTTTTTTAACCATAAAAAAGAACCTAATATTTATTTTCTCAATGAGAAGGGAATGTGAACGAGTTAAAACATGAAAACAGATCAAGTCAATCTACATTACCTCTCATGAATTCACTGCACTCCATGCCATAACCTGCAAAACTCAACAGAAGAAAAATAATTTTCTTTTTTTAGGAACACTGGAAGAAAAATGTTGAGGAAATGAAGAACGAGCTAAAAACAAAACTAAAAAAATTAATAAATAAATAAAAGTGTTGTTTGTAATTTTGTTCTTACCATGGCAAAGGAAAACAAGGGCCTTGGGTGAAGAAGAAAGAGGTAGCCATCTACACGTGAAGAGTTGCACACCTCTCGAATTTCTAATGTAATCCTGAAAATTTAACTCATGAATTAACTCACAAGCTTGGAAAATTTTATAAACAGAAAAAGAAAAAAAGAGAGATGAGAAAACTCTAGAGAAAGAGATCGAGCTCTAAAAGTTTTTACTAACTTCTCGGTACTCAACCTCCATGTTGCTACGAGACACAGAGAGAGAGAGAGAGAGCGCGTGTGTGTGTTGGTCTTAAGGTAGAGAGAAAGGGAGAGTTCAAGTTTGTTTGGGATACAAATTATATGTGGAGGGTTTAGCTTTCAAGGGAAAGTGGAGGAAATGATGTGAGAGAGAGAGAGAGAAGAGAGAGAGAGAGAGAGAGAGTTGTAGTTATGGGCAAATGTAGCGAGAGAGTTGTAGTTATGGGCAAATGTAGCGTATGGAAGTGGAAATATATGTGGCAGTCTAGCATCGACCTACTAGAAACATTTGTATACCATTAATATGAGAGAGACAAATATCTTTATCCATAATCCAACATAAATGCGTCTAACCGATCCCAATATTTTACTAAATATGTAGCTAAATATCATTCAATTTTAAAAATTTCTCTTGTTGATTATCCTGGCCACGGCTACTACCCGTATCTATTAGCCTTTCTATCATCGATTGCTTGTCAAAAAGCTTACATTTTCCCCGTCTAGAGCTTGTAGAACTTGTACGTTAATGTGTACTCATCAAATAATCATTAAAAATAATATTTTATAATGTTATGATAAGCAAGAGCAATAATAGTCTAACCACTATCAGTTTTTATTTTCATGTTCTATACAAAGAATTCAATAAATTTTGAAAGACAATATACTTCAAGTATAGATCAATAAGAATCTCCAAACCAAAAACAATATGAATAAGTCGAAAATACTTATTAAATTTGCTTTCCTTTTCAAAAATCTTATGTGGTCTTAAGGTAGAGAGAAAGGGAAAGTTCAAGTTTGTTTGTGACACAAATTATATGTGGAGAGTGTAGAGATGGAGCTCAGAAGTGGATTCAGGCAGCAGACAGATTGGCGGTCGACCGCTGCGGTCGACCGCGTTCGTGCACAGGAGGCTCTGGGCGTTTGGATCAGTGGCGGTCGACCGCGGCGGTCGACCGCAGAAGTTTCTGCCGATTCTAGGATTAGTAAGACAGGAGTTTTGAGCAGATTGAGAGGGTTTTCTTTGGGCTTCTATTCTAGGAGCAATTGGAGAGATTAAGAGTGAGTTGTTGAGGGTTTTGGTGAGAGATTGTAATCCTAGTTTGTTCATCTTGATTTCTAATAGTGAAAACTCTCCCCTCCTTGCCCCGTGAACGTAGGCATCTCGCCGAACTACGTAAAACTGGTGTTTGATTGTTTGTGCTATTGATTTTGGTTGGTTCTTTATCTTTCTCAGCGATTGGTTTGGTTTCTCGAGGCACAACAATTGGTATCAGAGCTCCGGGCAACACTTGGGCTTTTTGGAGGGGTAGATCAGTTGGGAAGTTTCTCTAGAGCTTCGATTGGTGATAAAGGTGGAATCTTTGTGGTAAAAATTCTATCTTTGGTCAATTTTTGGATCTATTTCCTATTTGTTCCGCAATTGTTTATTGGGTGCCTTGAGATATATGACCGGAAAGGATAAAAGTGGAGAGGGTTCTTCTAGTGTGAAGACCGTACAAAGTTTGAATGTCCATTCTATGAAGATAGATGTGGAAAAGTTCGATGGAACAAATAATTTTGGACTTTGGCGATGCGAAGTCATGGATGCGCTAAACGCGCAAAATTTGAAAGATACGTTGGAGTTGGACGGGAAACCGGACAACATGGATGATAAGGTTTGGAAGAAAATAAATAGAACGACGTGTAGTGTGATTAGGTCTTGCCTTACCCAAGATCTAAAATATGATGTGATGAATAAAACTTCGGCAAAGAAGATTTGGGAGGTCCTAAGGGGTAAATATTTGACGAAGAACGTCAAAAATTATTTGCATTTGAAGAGGAGGCTTTATCGCTTCCAATTGAAGAAGGGGACATCCATTAGTGATCACATGAACCACTACACGAAGCTACTTGCAGATTTGGCGAACGTAGATGTCATTGTTGAAGATGAGGATAAAGCATTGTTGTTATTGAGTTCCTTGCCCGACAAGGAATATGAGACATTCGTCCTCACTCTTATTAATGGGAAGACATCTCTTTCGTATAGTGAGGTCACCGCAGCCCTTGTGAACTATCAACTTCGAAAGAAGGACAACGAGACTTCCATTGAGCCGGTTGCGGAGGCATTGGTTGCAAGAGCTAGAAGTCCAAACCGTGGAAGAATGTCGCAGTCTAGAGGAGGGCATCCTGCAGTTGGTAGGAATCAGTGTGCCTTTTGTAAAGAGGATGGACATTGGAAAGCCGAATGCCCAAAATTGCAAGCCGTGAAGAATAAAGGAAAGCTATTCAAGCTTCAGAGGTGAATGTTGCCAAGGCTAGTGGTGATGTTTCAGATTCAGATTCTTCGGGCTATTCGTGCCCAGCTCTTCCGTCAGTTGATGTTGCCGACTCCACCGAGTGGATGTTGGATTCTGGTGCTACTTACCACATATGCCTTAGAAGGGATTGGTTCTCCAGCTTTCAGGAGTTGGAAAGAGGGGATATTATTCTCATGGGTAATGATCAAAGATGCCCTATTGGTGGTATTGGTACCGTTCAGATTCGGATGAGTGACGGGATGATCCGGGAGTTGGCTGATGTGAGGTTCGTTTCTCAACTGAGGAAGAACATTATTTCACTTGGGGTATTGGAGGCATCAGGCTATAGGGTGACCTTGGCGGATTCTCACTTGAAGGTGACATCGGGGTCCATGATTATGATTAAGGGAGTCAGACGGAGTAACTTGTATTATCTGCTTGGGAGCACGGTAGTTGATAGGGCACTGACTACTTCTTTGGCTAGACTGTGGTATTGTTTGGTGCTGGGATATATTGTTGGTTATACCGTGTACAGATTGTTGAGGAGTGCTATGACCTGTAGATTGAAGTCCTGTGAGCACATTGGGATGAGCGAGGAGACCGATGTGGAGTTCAGCACTTCTATCCACCGATCGAGGGGTCTTATTGGAGGTGTACAGTCAGGCATTGGGGGGCCTTCCATGTATGCATCAGTGGGAGGTAATCGTTATTTTGTTTCCTATGTTGGGGATTGTACTAGGCATATTTGGGTTGCAACCAAGTCCCATTGGTATAAAGCCCTAGTAGTCCGCAATAGTTGGAGGATGTGTATGGGCAGAAAAGTTACCAGTCATACTTGTTCTAGTAGGAGTCTTTTCTTGCATTGGTGCCGAGCTCATGGCAGTTAGAGGCACTTCAGAGGAGAGGAGACAGTGGGGCGACGTGATGAGGTGGCGGATTTAGTGAGCTATTCTTTTCTGGAGGAGGATCGACATTGGTTGTCGAGCAATGGGTCTGATATTCAGGCTTCGACAGGTTTGGGTCATCTTATGAGGTTGCCGACTGTTGTGTATAGAGTTGTTAGATCTGGTGGAGTTGCTTCAGTTTTTGGTTGGCGTCGGATATTTGGCTACCCAGCACTTGGTCACATCGTGGATGTGAGATTGGATCCAATTGCGCATTTGGGATTCAGAGGCTCGTTCGGCTATCAGTGGGGAGCTTCTGAGTTTGGTCTGAGCAGGTTTGTCACTTTGGACTCTCGGCAGGTAAAGAGTATTGATCAGATTAGAGAGATACCGCAACGGGTGGAGGTTGATGCTACTCCACATTGGGTGGGGATTTCCCCACATACTCCAGGTCATTCTGCATTGTTTGGGATTCCAGCTGAGGTGGCACAGCGTGAGAGTCATTTATTTATGGGTGCAGATGATGAGGTAGTTGATTTGGATGCAGCTGGTGGATATGTTTTGGATACGACCATTGTTACATCTCAGGTGGAGGTGTTGGATTGTTTTCAGATTGTGGTCGTTGATGATGCTATCAGCCGCAGGTTGGATTGAGGGCCTTTGGAGGCCATTGGGTGAACTACGTGAAGGCTTGATTCCTTGGGCAAGAGGATACGTAGGCAGTCTTTATGATGCAGCCGTTTTGGTGAGCGACATCGACATTTAGGGTGAGTGGTTGCACTCCCATTTCGGTCTTAGCAAATGAGGCATTTGGTGTAGTCGGTGTAGGCTCAGTTAATTGGTCTCGGCTCAGTTTTGGTAGAATCTTCGCCGAGGTGGAGATTTGTAGAGATGGAGCTCAGAAGTGGATTCAGGCAGCAGACAGATTGGCGGTCGACTGCTGCGGTCGACCGCGTTCGTGCACAGGAGGCTCTGGACGTTTGGATCAGTGGCGGTCGACCGCGGCGGTCGACCGCAGAAGTTTCTGCTTTCGGGTCGGTCGACCACCGCGGTCGACTGGGTTGACCACCGCGGTCGACCGCGATGGATCGCGGTCGACCGCCGTAGCGGTTTTGGGCTGGGTCTGTTTTCCAGACCCGTTTCGTTTGGGTTTTCTATAAATACCCAAACTCGATTCTAGGGTAAGTAAGTCAGGAGTTTTGAGCAGATTGAGAGGGTTTTCTTTGAGCTTCTATTCTAGGAGCAATTGGAGAGATTAAGAGTGAGTTGTTGAGGGTTTTGGTGAGAGATTGTAACCCTAGTTTGTTCCTCTTGATTTCTAATAGTAAAAACTCCCCCCTCCTTGCCCCGTGGACGTAGGCATCTCGCCGAACCACGTAAAACTGGTGTTTGATTGTTTGTGCTATTGATTTTGGTTGGTTCTTTATCTTTCTCGGCGATTGGTTTGGTTTCTCGAGGCACAACAGAGAGTTTAATTAGCTTTCAAGGGAAAGTGAAGGAAATGTTAAGAGAGAGAGAGGCAGACAGAGAGAGAGAGAGAGAATTGTAGTTATGGGCAAATGTAGCGTATGAAAGCAGAAATATATGTGGCAGTTCAGCATCGATCTACTAGAAACATATGTATATGAAAGGGAGAAATATCTTTATTCATAATTCATCATCCAATATAATGCGACTAACCGATCCCAAGGAGATTGATTTTTGACACATAACTCTCCCCAACTCTTTTATTTCTCTAAACCTCTCACATGGAGATTGATTTTTGACACATAACTCTCCCCAACTCTTTTATTTCTCTAAACCTCACATGAAAAATTTTAATTTAATTTTCACACTATCAGCGATAACTATACCATATCACGTGATAAGCACGTAAAAAACAATAAATAAATTTTTTTTCTTACTTTCAATAAGGGCATGTTTGTTTGTACGAAAATAGCAAAGAAGTAACTGAAGTAGAGAAAGTTTCTCTTACTTCAAACAAAAAATTATGTTTGTTTCTCCGAAAAGACTACTTCAGCTAATTCCATAAATACATATGTGACGTTTATGTGGCA